GGATGTGCCTGGTGTGTTTGTAGGGCAGCCTGCAGGCCAGGAGAGAACAGAAGTCAATGGGAGGTGACGTGGGGACCTCATAAACCACTGGAAGCGTTTTTGTTTTTACTCAGAATGAAGTGAGGAGCCATGGGAACCAGCGACTCAGTCACGCAGACAGCCTACTGGGACTCGGGACCACAGCGGCGGCAGGAGGAGGAAACTTAGGTCAGCAGAAACATATACATGGTGTACATTCTTTTGTATGAATAAGACAGTACATAAAACCATAAGCAGCGGGTGAGCCACATTCCTGGGCAGTGAACTGTCCACTCAGCTGTGGGTTCCTAATGCCACGGGCAGGACGAGCAGGGGACTTGGTGGCCAGAGGGGGTTGACACTGAATGGAGGCTGCCCGGTGAGGGCCCTGGTACTGGAGTGGGGCCATGTCAGCTTTGGAGCTTAGGGCTGCTGAAGGGACTGGTGTCTGTCTGCCCAGGGCCTATCTGCCCCTCTCAGACACTGGCATGGCCCGTCCTGGGGCTCAGCCCAGGGTCCGTCTCCATTCCAAGTCCTCTTCACAGGGAGGCAGGTGTTACCTGGAGGTCCTCAGATCTGTAGGTGTCCACACCATGGCCCAGGCCCAGCTGGCTGTCTCCCTGAGGTTTCTGCTGCCGGCCCAATTCTGCTCTGCTACACATCTGAGTCATCAGGCCCCTTTTGCCTGTGGCCCCCTGGTGTTTATTAATAACCGCTAACATTTTTGAGAGCTTCCTTATGGGTCAGGCTTTTTACTATTACTAGTAGCTAAAACCTACAGTCTTACCACCCGCCAGGCCCTGTTCTAAGCACTTTACAAACAATAGTTCATTGAATCCTCTGTACAGTCTTATGAGTTTATATTATTTTCTCATGTTATAGATGATGAAACTGAGGCACAGAGAGGTTAAGTAACTTGCCTAAGATCACACAGCAACTCCGTGGCAGTGCCGACTGTTGAGGTGCACACTTGTCACAGCAGTCCTGTCCGGCTGGTACGAGTAGCACACCCTCCTGGTAGATGAGGGAGGTTTTGTGCCTTGGCCAAATCACACTGGGCAGCGTTGTGAAAGGAGTGCAGGTCTGTCTGACCCGAATAGGCCTGGACCCATGACGCCCTGCAGCCTCCCAAGTTTATCTTCACTCATGGGCTGAGAGGTGGGCCTCATTCGACAGGTGCACCAAGCGTCTGAGCACCAAGAGTCTGAGCATCTTGCTCTAGAGGGTGCACGCAGAGCAGAGAGGGCTCCGCGCGGGACTTTCCATCCCGGCTGGTTTCTTTCCTCTGTAGCCCTCCTCCCGGGCTTTGAACCCTTCTTTCCTGGCACTCAACACACCTGGCCTCCCACCTTCTCCTCACACCCTACACGGCTCAGTCTTCCCACCCTTGCATTTACGTGAACACCCAGTGATAACCATTTTATCCATGAGAAGTCACCCCTCCTACCCCCTTTTTCTCCGCCCTCCCCAGGTGCCCTCCACGGTCTTATAGGGAAAAGGGAGGTGGGACCTTTTCCTCTCGCCAGGCTCCCCTTCCCAGGGTCAAAGGTGGGTGGGAGGAGGAGAAATAAATCCTGCTAGACCCTAGGTGTGGGGTGGGGTGGGTGCCTGTGGACCACGGGAGAGAGATACGGTGGTCACGGGACTCCAGGCCTCTCCCACCCCTTGTCCTGGGAGGGGGCAGGCAGCGCCTAGTCTCAGGGTCTCACATCCTGTGTTAGACTCGAGGTGGGGCCCCAGCTCCAGCTCACCTCCCCCCAGCCTTCCTGCCTTCACCAAAGCCCATCTTGGTTTCACACAGGCATTAGTTCCAACCCTCAATGCTGACGACATCACAGGGCCCAGGTATTCCCCTCCCAGCCCAGCCTGAAAATGGGGGCCTTGAGTTCCAGTCTTTATTCTGTCACTGATCTACTGGGTGGCCTTGAATAAGATGGTCCCCTCCCTGATTCCATCCTGAGGTCACATCTGAAGCTTCTACCTCCGGTTTCCCGAGCTCGGGCTGCCCATGCAGCCCATGGAGTGCCCGCGGCTCAGAGCTGTCAGGGAAATAATCAGAAACGTGTTGTATGGTTCTTCTCTTTTAAATAATCATCTACGTTGTAATTCTCTACATAATAATAATGGCAGCACTTGAAAATTGCTATCACTTTTCAATGAGGAGACTGAGGTCCAGGGCAGGCTAGTGACTCACCTGGGGTCACCAGGAGGGTCAGGGGCACACTGCAGTCCACACTTAGGGTCTCAGCTTCCTTTCCCATGGTGCTCACCACATCCCTTCCATTTCCTGCTGCCCCCATGACAAACCTGAACCCACCAGCCAAGATCTGCTCGTAGAAACCGAGGCCCAGGTAGGCAGAGATGGGCCCTGGCCTATCCTCCAAGGATATGGATAGAGGCTGGTGCTGCCCTTACTAGTCCTCCGGCTTCTTGCCAAGAATCTGCTAAGATCACCAGCCCAGGGCCACGCCCAGGAGCCCTCTCTACATCCTTCAGCACCTGGCTGCAGCCTTGGCCAGAGGGGGCAAAGGCTGACAGTGAGACCTCGGGGCTCAGACCGCCCCAGACCTGCTGCTCCACTGGGGTGGCTGACGGAGCACCAGCCTGAGCTCAGCCTCCATGTGCCCCCGGGGCAGAAAGCAGATTTGCTGGGTGATTTATTACAAACCTTCCTTTGTCGGCTACTGGGGACACATCAGTGCACAGAACAGGCAAAAATCCCCACCACGTGGAACCCACATCCTACTACATGGAGGCAGACAAAAAATAAATGAGAAAATATTAAGTATCTAAAAATATTATATATCTAAAATGCTATGTAAGAGGAAAATGCAGGAAAGTAGATAAAGAAGGCTGGGGGCAAGGTTGTATTTTTTAGTAGGGTGTTCAGTAAAGACCCTATTTTAGATGGTGACATTTGAGCAGAGATTATAAGGAGAGAATAAGCTTTGCAGATATCAGGAAGAAAGGTGTTCCAGGAAGAAAGAACAGCAAGTGCAAAGGTCCTGAGGCAGGAGCATGCCTAGCATGTTCTAGGAGCAACAAGGAGGCCAGTATGGTTGGAGTGGTATGAGTGAGGATAGAGTGAGCAAGATAGACAAATGTTAAATGCCCAGTGGACACAAGCATTGTAGCAGAAAGAATAAGCCATTCAGGGAGGAGGCTGGAGACAAGACCTACAGGTAAAGAGAAGGTTGAGGAGAGGGGAGCCCCAGAGAAGGCAGCAAGGGCATTCTAGGCAGAGACCAGCTTGTGCAAAGGCAAAGAAGTAGGAGGTGGCTCATCGTGCTCAGGCGTGAAGCTCCGGGGGCTGGAGCAGGAATCGCGTGGAAGGGAGGGGCGAGGCTGGAGCCAGCCACAGCCAGACTGAGAACAGAGCAGCATCAAGGGACAGAGGTCTCAGGGAACCTAAGAGAAGGTTGGGAGGGCCAGGAGGTTGTGGCCAGAGAGCAGCAGATGGGGTTCAAGGTTTGAGAGGTCAGGAGTGGCTGTGATCAGGGAGTGAGTGGGGTGGACATGCCTCTATGATGATGTTCGGATGGGGATGTGAGGAAACCAGCCAGGGCCTGTCTGTCCTCACCATGAGTCTCAGGGTGTGTGGGACCCCACAGCAGGGAGCCCCAAGTGCATGGATGTGGGGGAATGAGCTACCACCACTGGGGGGCACTGCAAAGGAAACCAGTCTGGGCTGGGCAGGTGTAACCACTCTTCCTTCTCCTTCTCCTCCAGCAGCCCTCTGGGTTGCTCCCTGGCCCCAGGCTACGCTGGTGGGCAGTGCCCGGCAGGGCTGAGGAGGCAGGGCACAGGAAGGGGAAGCCCCCTTGGTTTCTGTCTCACAGCAGGGGCCCAGCAGGGAAACCCCGAAGGTCCCAAAAGGAAAGCGGCAGCAGTGGGCCTCAGGGAAGACCGAGAAACCCCCATTTTCTCCCTGAAGATGGGAAGTCCAGGGCGGGGCTTGGGCAGGGCTGTGCTGGAAGGGAGATCTGTGGTTGATGTAGCCCAGCCTTGACAGCTGTCTACAGAGCAGAAACACCAGGACTATTCTGGAACCCGGCTGAGCCCCAATCCTGACCTCACACAACCCCAACCTGGCCACAGGCTGAGCTGACCCTGCTCATCACCTGAGCTCATCCCAGCCCACGCCTGAGCCATGGCCTGTCACAGGCTCGGTCAGGACCTTGACCACAGACCGAGCTCGTCTGGTCTGAGCACAAGCCTAATTCGTCCCATGCAGAGCCCCCAGATCACTAATAGCTCTGACCCACACTCAGAGCCAGGATGTTGGCCCCACACAAATCTCTGAGTCCAGCCCTAGACCATGATCTGACCCTGACTATAGAGTGAGCTCTAATTCAAGATCTGACTCTGGCATAAGGCTGAGCTCTTGGCCCTGAATGGAACTTCTCATCCAACCCTGACCCTGGCTATAGACTGAGCCTCGACTCTGCCCAGACTGAGACCCCTCTGCCCCGCACAAAGCCCCATCCCAGCCACCCAGTGAACCCCACCTTCCCTTGTATTCTCTTCCTCGGCCATCTGGTAAACCAGAGAGCAAGACCCCCAAGTCCCATCTGGTGAGCAGTCTTCCTACCTGGCCATTCAGCTCTTGAAGAACAGTAGGCTGGAGATGGCACTAGAATGATAATGACAGAGCAAAGAAACAAGAGGGGATTCGAGTCTCAGGACCAACCAGCAAATAGAGCAGGTGGCTCACCTAAGTGGGGGAAGTGAGCGGAAGACTGGACCTGGAGCTCAGCGGGGGTCAGCAGCTTGGATTGACCGAAACCCCAGCTTCCCGCCATCCCCCACCACACCTCCCACCCCCTCTGGGAAGGGAAATTACATTTCCCCATTTTAGCAAGGGGTGGTGAGGAGGGAAGACTGAGTTAAAGCAAAGCTGAAAGTACAAGCAGGACGGAAAGTGAAACTGGGCACAGCCCCCAGTATAAGACTCCCCCAGCCCGGGAGATGGCTGGCCAAAGAGGCTGGGCCCTGCCATGGGCCAGAAGGCAGGCGACCTTGGCTGGCGTGAGTTTGAAGCCAGGGCTTGGGGCAGAGGGGCGGGAGGCTTGGCTGAAACTGGGCAGAGGGTGGGAGACCTTGACTGGTCTGGTTGGGGCCAAAGGGCTGAGGGGCAACCACTTGGCAGAAACTAAGGATACAGGATACAGCTACCTGGCGGATGGGAATGAGGCCGGCATGAACGGAGAAGAGGGGTTGGACAGACAGGTGGTGGTTCAGCCGGGGCTGGGCAGAGGATGGGAAGCCTTGACTGGCATGAATGGGGGGCAGGAGGAGAGGGCTGGGCAGAGGATGGGAAGCCTTGACTGGCATGAATGGGGGGCAGGAGGAGAGGGCTGGGCAGAGGATGAGATGGTTTGACTGGCATGAATGGGGGGCAGGAGGAGAGGGCTGGGCAGAGGATGAGATGGTTTGACTGGCATGAATGGGGGGCAGGAGGAGAGGGCTGGGCAGAGGATGGGAAGCCTTGACTGGCATAAATGGGGGGCAGGAGGAGAGGGCTGGGCAGAGGATGGGAAGCCTTGACTGGCATGAATGAGGGGCAGGAGGAGAGGGCTGGGCAGAGGATGAGATGGTTTGACTGGCATGAATGGGGGGCAGGAGGAGAGGGCTGGGCAGAGGATGAGATGGTTTGACTGGCATGAATGGGGAGAGGTGGACAGGGAGGCTGACCTGGTTGGAGTGAATGCACGAAAGCAAGACCGTCTGGCTGAGAACTGGGGCTGGCTGGAGGAAGAACAGCAGGAAGAGTTGGCACGAGTGGGGGGCTGTGGCCGAGTCAGCAGCCCAATTTGGTCAAGCGTCCGATCTGCAGTTGGTGACAGAGGGACTCAGAGGCTGGAACCAGAGCAGATGGTACAGTCAGAGTAGGGACCAGGGACTCACGGATGGGGCCACAATCTTCACCAGGCAGGGCCAGGGGCCCAGGATTATCTGCAGAAGTTAGGGAGAAGCCAAGGGAAGGTCTGGGGGCTCCAGAGCTCGGGCAGGAAGTAGGGGGTCACGAGGAAAAGACACAGCTAAATGCTGGGTGGGCAATATCTTCTGGGGCCTGGGCTCCCCTCTCTCTCAACACAGAGCGGGGAAGAACCCCACTCTGCCCATAGCCCCCAAGTCAAGGAGCCTGGAAACTGGAGAGTCAGGTGCTGCCTACGCTCTCTGGAAGTCCATGGGGAAGTGGACCGACCCAGAAACTTCCCGTGGTCTTTTCTGAGAAGGCATTTCGAGGAGCAGAGCCCAGGGACTAGAGATCAAGGACAGACAGGGAAGAGGCATGCAGAGGAGGGTGAGCAGGAGCACACTTAGACTTAGGGGACTGTTTTGGTTTGTGTTTCAAGGAGAATTGTTAACCCCAGTGATTGCTGGGCTTCCTCTCCCTGGGGGGAGACCGCTGCACGCCGCCCTCTTCCCAGAGCTCGCGCCACACTGCCCCTTCCTTTTGTTCAGGAAACACAGGGCAGGAAGCACTTGCAGAAGCCAGCGGCTCCGACTCCCCCATTTTACAGATGGGAGCCTGGGGCATAGAAATAAGAGGTGACTTGCTCAAGGGAAGAACCCAAAAGAGAAGCAGGTCCTGCTTCCACTCCAGGCCCCCACCCCTGCACCCCCTGTTCCTCCCTCACTGCAGTGGGACCCACTCACCTTGGCTGAGGCTGAACCAGTCTGTCCTTCTGACTCCCTGGGGTAGAGCCTCCAGCACTGGCAGCCCCCTGGGGCACTAGCTCAGGCCATCAGAGCCGCCTGACCAAGCCCGAGGAATCCTTGAAGAGCAGAGTGTGCCTGCTGCAGGGCAGGTGGCTGCCTCCTCTGGGTTCCCTGGGGGAAGCTCACGGGATCTACATTTGAGTAGACCTGGAATCCAGTCCTGGTTCTCTCCTCCTCTGACTGTGTACCTTGGCAAGTCAACCTCACCGAGCCTCACTTTCCTCATCTGTAAAATGGGAATAATAGCACTCAGGTTGCCACACAGAGTTGTGCACTTAGTTCACTGGAAAAGATACCTGGCCAGGGGAGTGAGTGGGGCCCGTGCAAGGCTGCCCGGGAAAGGGCGCTTTGCTTTCAGTCATGCAGAGATGCTGTATGGGGCCCACTCCAGCTTCCACTGCAGTAATGGTTCTGAGAGGTCAGTGCGATGATACACGGTGCTTGCCTGCAGCACAGGCTTAGAAAAGGCATGTTCCCGTCCTCCTCCCAAGTTCTTCTCAAGCTTCCCCTCATTTTTCTCACCCTCTCCTCATCTCTCCAGGGCTTGGACTTTTGCTGCTCTCTTTGCTCCTGGCTCGAGCTGGTGTCTGGGGATTTCCAAGGCCCCCAGGGAGGCACCCCCTGAGCCTGCAGGAGGAATTCAAGGTCAGCCTGCATCTTGCCAGGAAGCTGCTCTCTGAGGTTCGGGCCCAGGCCCACCGCTTTGTGAGTGTCCCTAATGCAACTGGCTCTGGGGATGGGCAGATCCCCAATCCCATCTGGCCCCAACTAACAGATCTTGTCTTACAGGCTGAAGCTCACCTGCCAGGAGTGAACCTGGACCTCCTGCCCCTGGGGGAACAGCTCCCCAATGTTTCCCTGACCTTCCAGGCCTGGTGCAGCCTCTCTGTGAGTGTGGGGGTGCTGTTGGGAGGGGGCCAGGTGAGCTGGCAATGAGGCTGGGCTGGGAGGACAGAGATGAAGTCAGGGATTGATAGATTTGGGGATAAATCGGACTATAGAATCTGGATGGGGCTGAGTATGTCATTGGCTATAACGCTGAAGCTGAGTAAAGACATGGAGTTAGGGAGTAGGGAAGAGTGAAGCTGGGCAGGGGAAGAGGTGGGATGGGAACAGAATGATATGGGGACAGAAATCAGTATGGAGGAGGGATGAGAATGGGGATGGGCTGGGAATAGGAAGAAGGTTGGGATTAGAGTGAAAACAAAGTGGGGATGGAGACGAGATAGGGTTACCGGTGAGGATGGGAATGGAACAGGTTGGGATGGGGTAGAGGATGGAGAAAATGAGGCTGGGCATATGGACAAGGAATGGAATGGGAATAAGGATAGGAAACAGGTTGGAGACAGGCTGAAAACAGGTGAGGAGATGGAGACAGGATGGGTCAGTAGAGAAAGGAATAAAATGGGGTTGAGAGTGATAAGACCATGGAGACGGGGTTGGGTTAGACATGTATTCGTGTGTGGGGCTGAAAACGAGATGAGGAAGGAGATACGACAGAGGTCAGAGACAATGGAGACTGGAATGGTGATACGTGAAGGGAGTGGAGAAGGAGATGAAGTTGAGGATGAGAACAGATATTCAGATGAAATGGGGGTTAGAGTTTGGGATGGGAATGAAACCCAGAGAGACACGGGTTGGGTTTGAAGTGGGTCATCCTTGGCCTGCAGACCTTTCCTGACCCCTTCCCTCTGCTTCCACAGGACCCAGAGCGACTGTTCTTCCTTTCCATGACTCTTCGCCCCTTCCAAGCCCTGTTGGGAGGGCTGGGAAGCCAGGGGAGCTGGGCCAGCTCAGAGAAGATGCAGCTGTGGGCCATGAGGCTGGATCTCCGAGATTTGCAGCGGCATCTTCGCTTCCAGGTAGAGTGCCCACCCACCCTCCTTGACCCCCCGAGACCAAATCTGAGGGTCATTGGTTCCCTTTTTAAAATATCCCCACGCCCACAGGTGGGGTAAGTCTGGAGGGAGGTGCTCCAGATCCTCTGAGTGTGTCAGGATGTGTGAAAGGTATGTGTGTGAGTGTGTGTGTGTGAGTGTGCGTGGGGCCAACATGTGTAGCTGCCCCTGCTCCTGGCTCCGCCCCCTGAATCTCTTGGGGTCTTGGTCTTAAATGAGAGAGCTGCTCTGAAGCACCCAGCACCCGGCATCAGCAGGACCAGTAATCAAGTTGGTTCCCTTCTCCCCGACATCCTCTGACATCACCAGATCCTCATGAGCATTTCAAAGGGAAATAAGAATTTTACTTTTATTAAAATGAGAATCGAAAATGCAAGCAGCAGAAAAACTAGCCATATCACTTTTCTGCCCGTTTCTGATTCTAAGATGACCGCTAGGAGAGGACTTCCCAGAACCCCAGCTGCCCAGGGCAGTCCTGGAGAGAGCCAGCTCCCTCCACGAGCACCACCTCGCTCTGTGACTTCCATTTTCTTGAAGCAAAAAAATCATGAGGTGATGACATAATGAAAGATCTGAAGGAGGGGTTGTCCAGTGAAATCACGACTCTGTGGTCTCTGCCGTCATCTGGCACCACTAGACACATAAAGGAACAAGGATTCACTCAGCATCTCAGCCAGACCATTTTCTGACCCACGGGCGTCTCCTCGTCTCCTCGCAGGTGCTGACTGCAGGATTCCAGTTCCCGGAGGTGGAGGAGGAGGAGGAGGGGGCGGGGCTGCTCCTGGGGACGCGGGGCGGCCCCTCACAGGGGTCAGCCCCTGTGTCCTGGCCCCAGCTCCTCTACACCTACCAGTCGCTGCACTCCCTGGAGCTTGTCTTGTCTCGGGCCGTGCGGGACTTGCTGCTGCTCTCCCAGGCTAAGAACCCACTCCAAGCCTTGGGGTGTCCAACACTGGCTGGCTCCCAGCCCTGAAGGAATGATCTGCAGCCCCTTGCCTCACCAGTTAGGACTTTAGGACTGGATACTGGGCCAACAGGACAGCCACCAGCTCACTGCCTTCGACAAGGCAGGACTCCACTGACCTCCCTCCCCACACCCCACCAATAACTTAAGGCCCCTCCAGTCCTTGCTGGATATTTATTTCTTGGATATTTATTTATTGTTTAGGGAAATGATAGTTTATTTATTGTCTCAGGGCCCACTGGCTGTTCACCATTCTGGGCGCCTAATAAAGAAAACACCCTCACCCTCTCTCTGCCTCGCCTTCTGTTCAGAGAAAGGGTGTCTCCCACCAAAGGGGCCTAAAATGGACTCTGCAGCCTCTGGCCACCCTGGGCCCCTCTCTGCTTCTACATGTTGGGGTTTCTGGCCCACCTCTCTCCACTCTGACTTACTCAGTTGGTGGCTGCCATAGAAACCAGCAGAGTTCTGAGGCTGAGCTCCCATTTTGGAAGCTCAAGGTGGCTGGTCTGCTGATATCAACCTCTGATTGTCAATGGAGCCCCTCCTGGCCCCTTTCCTCAGGTCTGCCTTCCACCCGAGGTTTGCCCTCCTCCCACACAGCTCTCTACGGCCTTGGGGAGCAGTCTGGGAAGTGGGGGCAGTCAGAGAAGGAAGGCCGTGGGAGAAGCGTCTCTGGCCCCTCAGTCCTCGGGACAACTGCTGAGACAGGTTGGGAGGTAGTCAGGATGGGCCATGAGATGTGGTCCCAGTAGGGCAGGTGGTCCATCAGCTGCAGTGGAGTCAGATTCCTTAAGTTCGTGGTTCGCAAAGATGTCCGGCTCTGTCTGCTCCATGAATGAAACACCAAGATAAGGCCCAGAGGTTGGACAGGGTACATCCAAAGTGGCCAAGGGAGCCAGGCTGGGCAGGGTTCGGCCGAGCCCTCTGCCTCTTACTCAGGCCTGGTTCCTAGGTCTCGGTGCCCAGTCACTGGGGCTTTGGCCGGCCCAGTCTGGTTTGCAGTTCCTGCATCATGCCGGAGTGTGCAAGGCCAAACCTGGAGATGGAAGACAGGCCGGGAGCTGGTCTCCAGGTGTCCAAGCCTCCTGCCCATTCCAGCCCAGTCACCTCACCCGGTGCTTACCCATATCCCAGGGGCCTTCTCCTGGCTGGCACTGGGGTCCCTTCAGGCCTTGGGGGGCTTGGCTCTGGGGGTTCCTCTGGCTGGAGAAGTCTCTGCTCAGGGGCTGACAGCTCTTCCTCTGGTGGGGGGCTGGCAGGCTCCTTCTGCTGCTCAGGGGTGGGGATCCGCCGGAAAGAGGGCCGGGAGCGACGCTGGGAGGAGCTGCGGGAGAGGAGCACACGGCTCCGCGGCACAGAGACATCCAGGCGAGACACAGGGAGGAGGGCCTGCAGGGAGGGAGCACTGAGTATTATGGGCGAGCTTCAGATTCTGGTCTGTTTGGCTCCAGACCCTACCTGGATCCCTTACCTCACTCCAGATGCCATGGGCATCCCCTCCGGCACTTCCTGCAGCCTCTTCACCCAGCCCGGGCTCCGCCTCTTCGGGATCCTGATTTGTTGACTGGCCCTCCTGGCCCTGGAAGTCCTCCAGGTCTTTTGCATCAATCTCCTCAGCCTCTGCCCTCTGGTGTCTGGTCACCTCGGCATCCTCCACATCACAGGGCATTTGTGCCTCTCCTTCGGGGCTGTGGTCCCCACACTGCCCCTCACTGTTTTGTCCCTGCTCCCTTGCTTGCCATATCCCAGCCTCTTTTTCTAACAGTACCAGCCCTTCTGGGAGCCCTTCTGCCTCCACTATGGCCATGGTCCCCTCTGCCCTTGCCACCTGGGAGCCCAAGGTAAAGCCATCAGTCCCACAGCCTTCTTCTGCCACTACAAATTCCCCGACCTCTACCCACCCGACCCCTGGCTCACCCTCCCTGGCTTCAAAAGCCTCTACTTGGCCACCTCTGCCAGTAACCTCCTCCTCTGCTGAGCTCTCCAGGCCCAACTCCTGCCCACCTCTGTTCTCTCCCTCTGCAGCCTCCCTCAGCTCCTCACCTCTGACAGGTGCCTCTCTCCCTTCTGAGCCCCAGCCTCTCCCAAATGCGCCATCCCAAGCTTCCCCAGCCTCTCTTTCGGGCCCCTCCCCAGTTCCAGCAGCCTTTTCATCTGAAGCTGCCTTATTCTCCACAACCTCGGCAGCCAAAGAACCGGCCCGTGTATCCTCACTGTCCTGGAAGCTCAGAGCTGCCTCCTCCGGCCTCCAGACTCTGTCGGGTGTTCCACCTGCCTCCCATGGCACTGCGGCCTCCGCCTCCTCATCCGAGGCGTCTCTGGCATCTGACTCTCCCACTGACTGGCCTGTCCCTCCTTCTGCCCCGTGCCTTCCACCCAGTTCCTGGCTCCCGGCTCCACACCCTGCCTCCTTTGCTTCCTCCCACGCTCCGCCTGCCTCCGGCACCTGTGGCAGTGCAGACCCTCGGCCTCCTGCAGCCTCCTCTGCCCCTTCTCCACTGCCTACTCTTTCCTCCTGGGCGATCCCTCTCTCTACATCCCCTTTTCTCTGGCTTCCCCAGGCTTCTGCACCAGGCTTTACACACCCCATGGGCCTGGTACTAGCCTCCAGGCTCCCTTCTGTCTCCTCTCTGCCCAGGGCTGGAGTGCTCCAGAGCTCGTCCTCCGCCACCTGTCCTTCCTCAGGTGGTTCCACTGGGGTCTGGAGACCTCCTATCAGCCCAAGTTCCTGAACTTCAGTGACCTTGTGCTCAGGGCCACCACACTCTACTCCCAATTCTTCTCGGCCCATCTGAGCTTCTTCCTCACTCTTCTTGAACTCCTTTTCAGGGCTGGCCTCCAGGACTGCCTCAAAGTCAGCATCACCTTCAGCTTCATTTGCCACTTTGTCCTGGGAGAACTCAGCCTCTATGTCCCGGCAACTCTCTTTCTCCTCGGCCTCCTGTGCCTGCACCACCTCCTCCAGCCTTGCTTGAGCAGCCCCGACTTCTGAGTCTTGCCTTCCCTTGGCCTCTTTCCCATCCTGATCTGCCCTACCCTCAAAGCCCTCCCCTGCTTCCCACTCTGACGCCTGGCTCTCTGCATCCTCCTTCCCTGCTGTCTGGCCCTTAGCTGCTCCTCCCATTCCTTCAGTTCGCAGGGCCTGGGTCTGTTTGGGGAACAAGCTCACCTCAGCCTCTCTATTTTCACCCACCTCCTCCTCCTGGGCTCCCTTGGAGGCCTCCTCTAGGGCCCACAGACTCCCAGTACCCTCTGGGGACCTATTTCCTGGAACTGCCCCATATTCTGTCTCCCTGACTCCTGGGAGGTCAGCCGCCTCTATGTCTGAGGTTATCCTACCTTCCCCCACACCTGATGATGCTGTGACCTCCTCCCTGCCAAAGGTTGTCCCAGCCTCCTTCCTGCCTGAGGTTGTCCCGACCTCCTGCCGGCCTAAGATTGTCCAGGTCTCCTCCCAGCCTGAGGTTGTCCTACCCTCCTCCCTGCTTGAGGTTGTCCTACCTTCCTCCTGGCCTGAGACTGTCCTACCCTCCTCCCAGGCTGAGGTTGTCCAGGCCTCCTCCTGGCCTAAGGTTGTCCTACCCTCCTCCCTGCTTGCGGTTGTCCTACCCTCCTCCCCACCAGAGGTGATCCAGGCCTCTTCCCTGCCTAAGGTTGTCCAGGCCTCCTCCTGGTCTGAGATTGTCCTACACTCCTCTTGGCCTGAGGTTGTACTACCTTTCTCCCTGCTTGAGGTTGTCCTACCCTCCTCCTGGCCTGAGGTTGCCCCTGCCTCCTCCCAGGCTGAGGTTGTCCAGGCTTCCTCCCCACCAGAGGTGATCCAGGCCTCTTCCCTGTCTAAGGTTGTCTGGGCCTCCTCCTGGCCTGAGATTGTCCTACACTCCTCCTGGCCTGAGGTTGTCCAGGCCTCCTCCCCACTAGAGGTGATCCAGGCCTCTTCCCTGCCTAAGGTTGTCCGGGCCTCCTCCTGGCCTGAGATTGTCCTACACTCCTCCTGGCCTGAGGTTGTCCAGGCCTCCTCCCCACTAGAGGTGATCCAGGCCTCTTCCCTGCCTAAGGTTGTCCGGGCCTCCTCCCTGCCTGAGATTGTCCTACACTCCTCCTGGCCTGAGGTTGCCCCGGCCTCCTCCCAGGCTGAGATTGTCCAGGCCTCCCTTCTGTCTGAGGTCATCCTGACCTCCTCTCTGCCCAAGGTTGCCCCATCCTCAAATTCTGCCCCTGGCTCCTGTGTCCCCTGTGCCCTTGCACTTTGGCCATCTCTCACCACAGCCACCACCTCTTCTTCCCTCCCAGCCTCTTTAGCGCTGGCCTCCTGGATCTCCTCTGCAGCTGCCTCCTTGACTGTCTGTTCTGAGTCCCTGCCATCCCTCACTGCCTTCTGCTCATGGGCACCGGCCTTTCCCTCAGGCTCCCTGTGCCAGATCCACCCTGACTCCACCCCTCTGCCCCCCCCTGGCTCTCTTGTCCTGACCTCTTCCTCCTCCACCACCTCCTCCCCCTGTTCCCAGGTTCTCAGTGTCTCTTCTCTGTTCTCTTCCTGCTCATTGTACTCCTGATTCTCCTGTGCTTGGCTGCTCCTGTCTCCACCAGACTCAGATTCTGCCTCAGACTTCTTTCTGGCCTCCAAGGGGGCCCTTGGCTCCTGGCACCTGGAGGCCTTGGTTGCCTCCCGCACTCCAGAATCCTGCCTATCTCCTTGAGACCCCTGGGAGCTGCCATCTCCCCAACTCCAGGTCTGTTCTGTAGCTGAGCTTCCCTCCTGGTGTAATCTAGCCTCTCCAGGCCCTCTCAGTCCTCCATCCCCCTGGCTTTGGCTGCTTCCAACACCCTCCAAGGCCTCCTGGGCTTCCTCCTCCACAGTACTCCCTCGCCTTCCTGCAGCCACCTCCCCCAGTGCCTCGGCTGCCCATGCCTCCCTCCTCTCTGCAGTGGGGACCTCATCTCCCAAAAGGTAGGAGACAAAGGTGCTGATGGAATCCTAGAAGAATGGGGGGGGGGGAGACAATGGCATTAAGGGGAGGCCCATCCCTCTCCTGGGGGCCCTGGGCCAAAGGAACTCAGAATAGGAAGAGGGGTTCTGGGGCTGGGAGGAGGAGAACAACAGTTCTGCAGAAGGAATAGAAAAGGGCCTAGATGTATGTGTGGAGGTGGGAGAACTGAAATCCAGAAAAGATTGGGTTAGGAGGCTACCTGATTCTAGGGAAGGAATCTCAAATCTGAGGAGACTCAAAGGGAAGAAGGAAAAGAAGGTCCCAGGGATCAAGGTGAAAGTCTCTGGCATCTTTTTGCCCCTCTCACCAGTGTCCCCCTCAAAGCCTGATGCAGCCCAGGGAGATGTAGCCGGAGGAAATCCATTCTGTCTGCCTTTGTGTGTCCAGAAAGTTGACAATGACCGTCCCCACCCACCAAGACAAGCCAGTCTTCCCCAGGACCCAAGACACTTCCTCTTCCCGTTCCCCCCTGACGCATCTTTACCCCTGGCCCTACCCACCTTCTGCAATGCCCATAGTAGCTTCCAGCCAAGACTAGGAAATGGGTGTGCATCACACAGGGAACTCGGGTGCATATTTGGAGTTAAAGGGCAAGGACAGAAGCCAGAAAGAAGAAAAACGGGAGCAGGAGACCTCAGAATTGAGAATGGGGGAGGGGCATTTGGCAACTGCAGCTCAAGTGACTCAGGTCTTATATTCACACTTCAGCCATTTCCGTCTCCCCACAAGCCACAGCCACTCTGTGAGAGGAAGCTGGGGTTTGTGGTTCCTGTTTTGCCTGGGCACAAGGAGTGGGCATGAGGAGGGGGCTGGTAAGAGCTCTGGTTTCTCATTTCAGGGTCATTAATGCTTCCCCAAGGGGAAGAAGGGGCTGGACTGGTGGCTTCAATGCCTTTCCCCCTCATCTGTAGTCATTCTTGCGAAACAAAACTTGGCTAGGCTTTGTATTGTGGTTATTTGTGTCTACTTCCCACCCTCCTCTGAGTTCCTTGAGGGCAGAGGCCATGTATGACACAATGCTGAATTTCTAGAGCCCTGCATGGGTGGTAGGACCCCGTTTTTTTGTTGGTTGAGTGACTGGGGAAGAAGATCAAAAGGGGCTCATATCAAACAGCAGTCTGAGGGCCAGGTGGTGAGAAAGAGCTCATGCAGGTGGGCACCCTCATACAGGTGGGCACCGGCTATTGGAAGCCCATAGGAGGGGAAGGAGGTGATGAGAATTCCACCCAGAGGAAGGTAAGAGAATCCGCTCCTTATTTGGGACTATGCGAAGTGACACTGATTTACGTCTCTTCCCCTAATCCCCTTCCAGAGCCTCACTTCCTAAATTTCCAATTAGAGGAATGAGATGAGATCACAGAATCAGAATCTTGTGTCTTAGAATCATCAGGTCTAAGCCTGCTCAGCCAGCGCCCCTCTCCGGTGCTCTCCCAAGCTCACCTTTATGTCTAACTTATGATCATCAGTAACTTTCCTTTTTTTGTTTTCGCATCTGTAAACCCGGGGGTTGGACTACTTCTGTGATATTCCTAGGTTCTAGGATAATTTGGGAAAGGGTTCTCTTAACCCCTTGGATACTGCCTGTAAATAATTCATGAAATCCTCTTAGGTGGGTGTTACCTTTACATTCCGTTTCCAAAGCAATCTAAGGGCAACAGACAGGAAAAAGAATGACCTGAAGCTGTGCGTCTCTGTTCCCAGCCAGAAAGGGCGGTGTCTGAAATGAGTGGCCAGGTGGCCATATTTGTCCCTGGCAAATGAGAGTCCAGAGAGCTGAAGCCGCTCACAGCCATGGTTAGTGCTGGCACAACACAGTCACGGCCGTGGGCGCCGTTAGCCTAGCGTCCGGCTCTTCTTGCTGATCCCACCCACTCCAGTTTCAAGCCAGCGGTCCCACGGTTCCGCTGGCCTGTCTCCGTCCCACACCCGAGGCCGGCAAGGCCGACCGCGAAGACAGAGTGGAGACCCGGAAGTGGTGAGGACGCCCGAGCACGTGATGGGGGAACCCGCTGGTGCTGTCACGTGACCGGCCAACCTGTCGTTCCCCGGTGCGGAATGTTCAGCTGCTCTTAAAGGTACAGGCTGCTGTCGGGACCCCTGCTTTAGAGGGGGCAGGGGCAGAGTCCGACGGGTGGGGCGTGGTGGGGCGTGCGAGAGCGCGAGGTGGAGCCCCGGTTTAGCGCAGTGGATTGAGGGGCGCGAGTGCAGCAGAGGAGCGCAGCTGGGACCAGCAGTGGGGCGTTGATCCTTCTCACATGTCGCAGACCCTCATCTACCCCATCGGAGCCAACTCTGAACTCTCGCTGACCCTGGACCCCGGCGGGGACCTGAACTTGATGCCATGGGAAGCTCTGCAGGCTCGCGGCGGCGCCTTTCGGATTCCGAGGGTGAGTATTACGCGCCCCCTCGCTGGAACCACAGCCTCTGCCCCGCGACCCATCCGATGAGCTCGGGAGCAGGCTGGACCCCGGGAGAACCCCCGGGGGGTCATCACACACCTGGAGGGGTGGGGTCATCACACACCTGGAGGGGTGGGGTCATCACACACCTGGAGGGGTGGGCTCATGCCTTCTTCTCGCCCTCCCAGAGGAGGCGACCGCCCGGGAGCCTCGGCCGCCGGACCGCCAGGGCGCCCACTGGAAGAACGCGATAGGCTTCTGGTGAGTGGCCTGGGGAGTTCAACAGAAGTAAGAATGGGGTGGGAAGAGGAAAGTAAGAATTGAGGTGCGAAAAAGGAGCTGAATCCACAAATATTTAGGGAGCCAGTTGGTTTGCCCCGAGGCAATGTGTAAATTTCCCAAACTAAAATCATTTATTTACATGCAACCTTAGCATTTAGGCCAGATCTTCATACCACCTGTAGGGTTTTTTACTTGTTTTTATTACAACCAATTAAGCCTTTAAATTTGTAAATACACCATATTTCTTAAAGAAAACTTTAAATCACTACTCTATATGGAAAGCCAGTCTTTTCCTAATGCACATTTAAATAAATACATCACTGCTTTTTAAAAGATCATCCATCTACCTCCTAAAATCTCCTAAGTACTGAAAAATACTTCTAGCACCAACCTAAACATCCAGGACTTGAGTGGCAGATTGGGTTGGAAGTGACTTCCCGCGTGGCGAGTGACACAACTTCTCTGAGCCGCAGTTTCTCAGCAGTGAAATGAGAAGAGCAATAGTCCTCCTTCGCAGGTTGTGAAAAGGACATATGGGGTCTCTGGCGCTAGGCCCAGTTCCTTTCCCATCACTGAGTGCAGCTCTGGGAGATGAGTGTAAGCACGTGGATCATAAAGGACTTTGGTATTATCTTGGTTTGATCCCTACAGCACTCTGCAAGGTAGAAGAAAAATTTGTATCCCCACTTTACATATGAGTACACCAAGACCACTCAAGTAGGAAGCGGCAGACTTGGGACCTGAACATAGTCCTTTGGTTTCAAGCCCTGGGAGCTTTCTACTGTACCACAGCACATCAGGGACAGTGGACCAGTGGATGAGAAATGCCCCAGGAACTGGTGGGAGCTCAGAAGAACAGGCGTCAAGGAAGACTTGCTTTTCTTCCTTGGAGACGTCTGGGAGATTAGATGTGAACCCAAGTCTGTGATCCCGAAGCCCGTATTTCTAACCCTAACACTGAATGGAGATGAGGTCTGGTGATAGAGAAAAAAGTGAGAGCTGATTGAAGGAAAGGGGGAGGTTTGGTGTTAGGGTTGTGGATAGATTGTAGCCTGAAAGGAGGTTGTTTAAGATCTGTTCTTACATGTCAATTATATCTCAGTAAAACTGGGGAAACTATCTGCTCTGCTCACTCCAGGCTCCTGGGCCTTTGCAACAACTTCTCTTACGTGGTGATGCTCAGTGCTGCTCATGACATCCTTAGCCACAAGAGGGCATCTGGAAACCAAAGCCATGTAAGTGACTCTGCCTCCACCACTGTGGGAAGAGATGAGAGACTCACCCTGGGGCAGACGCTCCTTGAAACACTCATAGAATGGGGTGGCCAAGGGGTAGGGCAAAGGGGCTAAAGTCCCCTGTCTCCTATATCTAAGAGCAGGAAGCATCTTTAAGAATTAGTTGGTGCCATGTGTACAAACTCAGATGTTGGCTGGGTAGCACCATGGTCTAGGGCAGAGTTTTTTAACCCTCACACTGTTACCATTTTGGACTGGACAATCCTTTGTTGTGGGGCTGCCCTGTGCATTGTGGGATCTTTAGCAGCATCCCTGGCCAGTAGCAGCCTCTGCCCTCCAGTTGTGACAGTCAAGAATGTCTAGACATTGCCAGATGTTCCCTGTGGGATAGTCACCTCCAGCTGAGGACTTCTTGTCTATGAGGAGCTGGAGGGCACATGACCAAGGCGAGCAGCTGCCACCTTGCAGGTCCAACAGGGAACTTGGTCCAAGATCAGGTTTTCTGGAAACCCACATTTTAAAGTGAAAGCTTCTAAATGAGTTACCCAGATAAAGTCCATTTACAGGGCCAAGTTTGGCCAGTGGGTCATTCTGTGGACAGAGAGAAACTGAGGTCCAGGAGGCCCGGCTGACTCAAGGCCATCCTTCAGGTTAGAGCAGAGCTGAGACTCCAGCCAGGCCCTGTTTGTCTACCCTCTTGCCTCCCTGGGTGAAAGACTTTCTTCTTTGCCATCAGGTAGACCCAGACCCAGTCCCCACCCCCCACAATAACTCATCTCGATTTGACTGCAACTCTGTCTCCACGGCTGTGAGTACCCATCTCCCTGACCCCCAGTCCCACTCCCTCAGCATCTAACTGGGACTGTCCTAATTATAATAATTAAGACTACTGTTTCCTGAGTCCCTTCTGTGTGTAGCTGATATTGGCTCATTTAATCCACGCAGCAGTTCTGAGAATTAGGCACTATACTCACCCCCGCCCCGTTTCCAGATGAGGAAACTGGAGCTCAGGGAATGTGAATGCCTTGACCTGCCGCTAAGGAGCTGCAGGGCTGGACCTTGAACCCAGATCTGAATTCAGAGCCTGTGCTTGTAGCAGGTCTAATTGGCTGGTTTCTGTCTTTCCTTGGCCACTTGGTTCCGATGTTTGTCCCCAGGAAGGTCTGGGGTCTTACTCTGTTCTCCTGTCCCAGGCGGTGCTCCTGGCAGACATCCTCCCCACACTCGTCATCAAACTGCTGGCTCCTCTTGGCCTTCATCTGCTGCCCTACAGGTCTGGGAGGGAGTGATGGGAGGAGGGGCGGCTGGGCTCTGTGACGAGGATGGGAGGGCAAAGGAGGTGAGAGCCGAAGCTGACCTCCCCTCTCCCCTCAGCCCCCGGGTTCTCATCAGTGGGGTGTGTGCATCTGGAAGCTTCATCCTGGTTGCCTTTTCTCACTCTGTGTGGACCAGCCTGTGTGGTGAGTGTGAGATTTTGTATCAGTTGGGGGGCCCAGAGGAACTGCAACAGAGCATTTGTGGGAGTAGTCTCCCCAACTCCCCAGAGGAAAGGGATTATTTTTGTAACCCTCAGAAGCTGCTAACACTGCACAGTAGGAGATGGGAGATGAGGCCAGTTTGGAGGGGTAGGTGGCGGGGGACATGGAGGACATGGACGGAGTAGATGGAGATGGACAGAGGAACCGAGACTCCATCATGGGGTGGAGGAGGCATCAGGATGAGCTCTTGCTCCTGGTATGATAACGTGGGGTGTTGTACCATTCCCTGCAGGAGGACATTCAGAGGAGGGTTTGATTCTATATCAGACCTGGAGCCCTTCTCATCCAAGGATCTGTTTTGTTTTTGTTAATCCTCACCCAAGGATGTTTTTTCCATTGATTTTTAGATAGAGTGGAAAGGAGAGGGGGTGTGGAGAGAGAAATATCTATGTGAGAGAGACACATCAATTGGTTGCCTCCCACATGTGCCCCAACCTGGGCCAGGGATTAACCCTGCAACCCAGGTACGTGCTCTTGACTGGGAATTGAACCAGTGACCCTTTGGGGCATGGGCTGACACTCTAACTCTAACCACTTAGCAACCCCTACCAGGGCCAAGGATCTGTTTTTAGCCCCTCTGAGCTGATGCAGAGGAAACCATGGCCAGACACCTTAAGGAATTAGGGTATTGGGAAAAGGCCACTGTTGTGTTTGTCCTCCCCCCAGGTGTGGTCTTGGCTAGCATCTCATCAGGCCTAGGGGAGGTCACCTTCCTCTCACTCACCGCCTTCTACCCCAGGTAAGCAGACAGCAGGGAGTGGGGAGAGGAGGTCCCCCTGCCGGCTTTGGTCCACTTTCGCGCTCCGTTGTTCTCCTTCTCAGGGCTGTGATCTCCTGGTGGTCCTCAGGTACTGGGGGAGCAGGGCTGCTGGGGGCGTTGTCCTACCTGGGCCTCACCCAGATTGGCCTCTCCCCCCAGCACACCCTGCTGTCCATGCTGGGCATCCCTGCCTTGCTGCTGGCCAGGTAAGTTGTGCTGGGCTGGGAGGAAGATGAATTCGATGAGAGAAAACTAGATCATGATCCCGGGCCTCGCATCCCTACGGTCTTGTTATGAGGGATGTAGGTTCTGGACTCTGATAGGCCTGGGTTTGAGGCTGGAGCCACCACTTGTTAGCTGTGTGGTATGAGACCAGTCGCTTTACCTCTGGCCCGCGGCTTCCCCATATCTCAAACGGTGGTCGTTCTCCGTGCTTCCGGTGAGGTGACGTGTGTGAAGCATCCAGTACAGTGTGGTTCCCGAGGGGACTTGAGGGGGACAAGGGTGGAGTTGTTTGATTTTATGTGTGTGAGGAAAACCTTTTAATCAAACAAACCTGTGATTTCACAGATTATTGCTTAGGACAAGGCCATGTAGAAAAAGGGAATTAATTGAAAGGAAAGTATCAGGTAAAAAATATACGCAGGAGGAATGTGGATGTGACAAACAGCATGAAGACGAAACATGTGAAATTTGGGAGGTCCTGGCCTAGCACAGAGTGAACACGTAATAAATGGTAGCTGGAGTCATGAGGACGATGTCAAGGAAACAGCTGACCAGCGTAGTGTGAGCCAGGAGTCAAACGAGGGCCCTGGGGTGGAAGCAACCAGGAGACAAGTTTCAGCTCCAGGGAAGTAAGCGTTTTCTACAGTTGGCGCCCTCTGACACAGGATGGGGTGCCCCAGAGGAGTGTAGGAGTGAGGGGGCTGCCCTGGGCGGGGGTGGCCTTTCCCGCCTGCCAGGCTCTTGGGCCTGATCTCATTCCACCTACTTTTAGCTATTTCTTTTTGCTCACATCGCCTGAGCCCCAGGACCCTGGAGGGGAAGAAGAGGCAGAGAGGGCAGCTCGGCAACCCCTGATGAGCAGCGAGGCCCCCGAGTGGAAGCCAGGTAGGAGATACGGGAGTCCTCAGCGCGTCGCGCTCTCTGGGGCTTATCTTCCTCTCTGCAGTAGACCGTGGGAAGGGGAGTGGATGCATAAGAGCCAACCACAGTCATCTGTGCAAGAAATACTGGGTGCTTTCTATGTGTCAGGTGTCCCAGTCGCTGAGGGTGCCATGGTGAGTAAGATAAGGAAATGAGGCCGACTTGTAAACAACTGAACCAAAAATGTGCTTTCCACGTGTCGATAAGTGCTGGAAGGACCTAAAACAGTGATGTGCGAGAAAATGACAACTGGGAGGAAAGGGAGAGGAGTTCTGCTTACGAAGGTGGTCAGGGAAGGCCTTTTTAAGGAGACCTCACTGGGCTACAGTCAGGCAAGGCATCAGCCCGTGGACATCGGGGTGGGCAGGTTCCAGGCGAGGCCGCAAGTGCTGAGGCCCTGCGTGGCAGTGCGGCTGGATATTCAAGAAATGGACAGAACGGGCCAGTGGGGCTGGGGGGGGTGGGGATGTCCAGCCATCAGATGTACAAGAGCTGTGAAGAGGTCTCATCTGGTTAATTCTTTTTTGTTTTAATCATGGTGAAATATACATAACATGAAATTTACCAATTCAACCATTTTAATTGTATAATCCAGCGCGTTCACGCTGTCGTGTTGGCTGGTTGGTTCTTCCCAGCAGCACCCCTTTGCCGAGTCTGTATGCCAGCCTCACCTGCCCTTCTCTCTGCTCTTCTGCAGACGCCCGCTCAAGCCTCACCCTTCAGGAAAAGTGGACCGTATTCAAGGTATGGATGGTGGCTGTGGCCTGTCCCCATCTGTGGCCAGTGCCCTTCTCCCAGCCTTCCACGTACGTTATGTCTTCTGACTCCTCCAGGGCCTGCTGTGGTACATTGTCCCCTTGGTCCTGGTTTACTTTGCTGAGTACTTCATCAATCAGGGACTTGTGAGTAAGGGCTGCCGGGAGGGGTGTGGAGCAGAGATCAAGGAGGGCACTTCCCTGCCCGGTTCATCTCCCCTGTCTGGTCCTTGCTGCAGTTTGAGCTCCTCTTCTTCCGGAACACATCCCTGAGTCACGCTCAGCAGTACCGCTGGTGAGACCAGCGGCAGGACGGGCAGTCTGCTGGGAGGGCCTGGGGTTGTGAGGGGCTGCCATGCGAGTAGGCACCGGAGGGCTTCCTCCTACTCCCTGCCCCTGTCTAAGGTACCAGATGCTGTACCAGGCCGGCGTCTTTGCCTCCCGCTCTTCTCTTCGCTGCTGTCGCATCCGCTTCACATGGGCCCTGGCCCTGCTGCAGGTACCGGGCCCTGGGCCCTCACCCCATCCCCGCCTTAGCTCCCAGCTTCCCAGGCCTCGCTGCTTCCGTCCCTCAGCAGGAAGTGTTTGTTGCTCACTGTCATGTTCTAAGCACAGGAACAGGGCCAGCGGGGCTCCAAGGGGCAGATAAAGCTGCTGTGTATCCCAGCTTCTGTACTCTGGCTGTGCGGCGTAGGGCAGGTCTCTGAACCGACCTGAGCCTCAGTTTCCTTATCTAGAAATCAGGTACAGCCAACATCTACTTCTCAGGGTAGAAGTAAGAAATAGAGATAAGAAGAAGCATGAAAGAACAAGATTCTATACTGGGTCTCAATCAGTTAGAATCATTTATTTCGTGATTATTTGCACAAGTCTCATGCGGAGACACAGGCTTTCAAGTAACACTTCTAACAATAAGAAAATGCGCAGTGCTTTTAGTCTGGATGGTTAACTGTAATAGAATCAGAGGCATTATACGTAACAGATTATATATCTCAAGGCTGATGAACAAATTCAACTACCCATGACAAAAGTAGTCTACAGCTTTGAGAAAACAAACTTTTCCCTACAACAGTCTAAGAGAAGTACTTTTACATAACTGACCTTTATTGTTTCTGCAGCCCCGTAGGTAACTATTAAAATAAACTTCCAACTCTGATAGGAAAGTCCTTTGCCCTTTTTAAATTACTTAAACCTGTAACAAGATTCTAGACTAAGTATAGATTACGCTTGAGTGTTATGGCAACAGCACGCAAATATCCTCTAACCTTCTCTTTATTTATTTAAGCAGCACCACCAGCCCAGGGCTTTGTAGCCCCAAAGGCCCAAATTGTGTCAGTAGTTCTTGGCTCAGGATTCTTCATTAGATGCTGCTGAAATGTAGTTTATTATTTTAGTTATAATCTCAACCAAGGCTGCTTCATAGAAATAGGGGCTTACAATCGTTTAATTTTACAGAAAGCATCTAGCCTAGTACTGCAGACGGAAGTGTCGGCAGTGGTTCGCAGGTCACATTGCGATAACCAGAGTGTGTTCTTCTAAAAGCAGATCTCTGAGCCCAGCTCAGACGGAATGAATTAGAAGCTCCGAGGGCGAGGCCTATGTGGGTAACAAGATCTCTGGGTGATCCCCATATGCATCCAGGATGTGACACCCTGCTGGCATCCCCTTGCACACAGGGGTGGGACCTTGGGATCCCCTAAGGGACTTGGGCACAGAGGAGGGACCTACACCTTTGGGTGGGGTCAGAGAGGCTTCCTAAACGAGGTGGGAACATCCAAGCCCACCGTGAGGTTCTTCCACCTCAGCACTGGGCTCCTTCATCCTTTGCTGGCAGGACAATGAGCAGCTCCTGTGGCCTCCACCCATTAGATGCCCACCGCATTCCCATGATGCCGCAACTTCCATTCCCAGTTGTGACAACCAAGAACATCTCCAGACATTGTCCAGTTGAGAACCACTGGTCTAAATGTAGCCTTAGTGTGATAGAACAGGGAAAACTATTCAGGGAGCCCTTGGGAGGAGGAATGAGATCACAGGAGTAAGTGACCCTGATCCAAGCTGAGCGGGGGACAGTAGTGAGGGGAGGTGGAATGGCGTTCCAGGTGGTCGGAGTGACGTGAGCCAAGGGGTAAGGGAGGAGACCCACCAGATCTAGGGTGTGGTCAGGGTAGAGAGAAGGTGTGACCCAGCTCCCAGGGTCTATTTGGATGTTGGGATTTGATCCAAGCTTGCCAGCCCTCTCCCTCAGCATCTGGAGGGGATGGCAGCCTCCCTTCCTGCCTGCCTCGGGTCCCAGGCTCAGCCCTCCCCTCCACCTGCACCCACAGTGCTTCAACCTGGCCTTCCTGCTGGTGGACGTGTGGTTGAACTTCCTGCCGAGCATCTACTTCGTCTTCCTGATCATTCTGTATGAGGGGCTCCTGGGGGGTGCTGCCTATGTGAATACCTTCCACAACATTGCCCTGGAGGTCAGCACCAATCAGGCGAGGGCTGTGGGTGGCCTTTCTGGAGAAGGCCAGGGCACAGGTGTGGAAGACTGAAACCTCACCCCTGTACTCCACCCTTCCTAGACCAGTGATGAGCACCGGGAATTTGCTATGGCAACCGCCTGTGTGTCCGACACCTTGGGGATCTCCCTGTCAGGGGTCCTGGCCCTGCCTCTGCACGACTTCCTCTGCCAACTCTCCTGACACTGGGCTTTTTGGGACACGGGATGCACTAGCAGATGGGCAAGTCAGAGCCCAGGCCCACAGCCCAGGGCCTACCTATGAGCTCTGCTCCTGGACTTCCCTGCCCGGCTGGGCTGTGGAGAAGCGCCGAGGTCCTGTTCCCCTTTGAGCGAGGGACAGCAGCTTTCTCCCACTCTACATTGATCTTGGGGACTTTGTTGGCATTTTGCCCTCAGAATAAATGCCTATATTGTAGATTGACTTGTGCCATTTTCTGCTTGAAAAGAAGTTATTATAAAAGCAATACCAACCCACTTTGGAATATATGCAGGAGAGTGTAAAGATAGCATTTCAGCAGATTTTCACCTAGTCTTTCAGGCTTATTAATGCGCTCACTGTATGAGGCAGTCTCTCTACACTTTTCTCTGACACGTAAGTTTTCAAACATGCAGAGAAGTTGAAAGAATTTGCGCCGTGAGTTCTCACGCAGGTACTGCCCAGGTTCTAAAGTGGCCATTTTGCTATAGCTGGATCAGCAGGGATCGAGCCCTTCATTCACCAGTCCGTTTATTTTTGTAATGCGCTTCAAAGTAGGAGGCTGGGAGCCAGCTTTGGGCCTTCTTCATCACAGGTCTCTTAACTCTTCTGCTGGGTCAGCTGTGAACACCCCGAACCCCAAGGCTGAGTGGCTCAAGCCCAGGCAGTGTTGGTGGTCAACATCAGCATGGCCTGGGGGCTGCGGGACATTCTGGGGACCTAAAAGCACCGTGCAGATGCTTGTTAATAGTGCTGGAGACATCAAACTTACTAAAGACAGCAATATACTGCTTCATGAAATGCAAATTCAATACCCAACAGCCTCCTTGATAGCCAAAGTAGCAGCAGCCCAGGATGACATCTGGTGATGGTACCACTTCCAATGTCCTAATCATTGGAGAACTGCTGAAACACATGGATCTCTACATTTCTGAAGGGCTCATCCCAGAATAATGACAAGGATTGAAGCTGCAAAGGAAAAGGCACTTCAGTTTTTAGAACAAGTCAAAGCAAGCAGAGAGATGGACAAGGAAACACTCAGAGATGTGCCAGGACATCTCTGTGTACTCAAGTTTATACTGAACTTGCCAACATCTTCACAGAGGCTGTTGTTGACACCATTTTGACCATTAAAAAACAAGATGAGCCCTGGCCAGTGTGGGTCAGTGATTAGAGTGTCAGCCTGCACACCAAAGGGTCACAGTTTTGATTCCCAGTCAAGGGCACATACCTGGGTTGCAGGTTCAATCCCCAGCCCCAGTCAGGGTGTAAGTGGAAGCAACTGATTGATGTGTCTCTCACTGATATTTCTCTCTCTGTCTATCTCTCTCCCTTTCACTCTCTCTAAAGAAAAAATCAACGGAAAAATATCCTCGGGGGAGGATTAACAAATTAATTAATAGTAAGATGAACCTGTTGACCTCTTCGTGGTTGAGATCATGGAGCTGGAACATAAATCTGAAACCGATATAAGCTTAATCGGGTCTTGCTTTGGACCGTGGAGCATGGCATCCTGATGCGAAAAAAGAATGGAAGATGCACACATTCTCACGTGCAATGTGTCCTTTGAATATGAAAAAAGTGAATTCTGGCTTTTTTTTTTTTTTTTTTTACAAGAGTGTAGGAGAGAGAAACTAGTGAAAAATTGAAAGAAAATTCATTGGAAATAGTTAAAAAATAATAGAACTGAAAAGGAAGTCCCATGGTAACTCAGATAAAGGATTTGTTATTAGTCAAAAGGGAATTGACTCATTTTCTTTTATTTTAATATATTGTTACTGATTTTTAGAGAGAGAGGAAAGGAGAAGGAGAGAGAGATAGAAACTGATGAGATCGATAGGTTCCTCCTGCACACCCTCTACTAGGGATCAAGCTTGCAATCCCAGCATGTGCTCTGACCAGAAATCAACCAGTGACCTCTTGGTGCATGGGTTGATGCTCAATCAACCGAACCACACCAGGCAGGCCCCATTTTCTTTTCTTTTTTTTTTATCCTCACCCGAGGACATTTTTCCATTTTTTGTACAGACAGAGTGGGAGGGAGAGAGAGGGAGAGATAGAGAGAGAGAAACATCGATGTGAAAGGGACACATCGAGTAGCTGCCACGGCACGACCAACCAGGACCAGGGACAAACTGCAACCGAGGTACGCGCCCTTAGCGGGAACCGAACCCGGGTCTCTCCGGACCGCAGGCCGACGCTCTAACCGCTGAGCCAAACCGGCCAGGGCCCCATTTTCTTTAGATGCTCTTGTAAAAGAAGGCATAGTAGGTCTGCACAGAGCTAAAAGGAGAAATAGAAAGGCTGACTTGCTTGCAGTGGGGCAGCTCGGAATTCTTTTGATGACCTAACTCAGTTGAGACATGCAGGACTTGTCTATGAATATACATTGGGAGAAGAGAAGTTGACCTCTGTTGAGAAATGTAACAATCCTCGTTCTGTCACATTATTGGTCAAAAGACCAAATAAGCACACACTCAAAGAAGCAACAAGAGATGTCTTGAGGGCCATTGAAAATGTTACTGATGGCTGTGTAGCTCCAGGTGCTGGTGCAGTAGATATGGCGATGGCAGAAGCCCTGGTTAAATACAAGCCCAGTGTAAAGGGCAGGGCCCAACTTGGAGTTCAAGCTTTGCTGATGCTCATTTATTCATTATTCCCAAGGTTCTTGCTTAGAATTCTGGTTTTGATCTTCAGGAAAGACTAGAGTTCAAGCAGAACATTCAGAATCAGGTCAACGTGTGGGTGTGGACTTGAACATAGGTGAGCCGGTGGTAGCGGCAGAAGTAGGCACTGGGAAAACTATTGTGTAAAGGAACAGCTTCTTCACCCCTGCACTGTGATGGCCACCGACATTCTCCTGGTCGATGAGATCACGCAAGCTGGAGTGCCTTCTCTAAGAGGCTGAACTGAAGCTTTGCTTTTATCATCTGAATCAGGAAGACTACAGAGTGATCCTAAGAATACAGCTATGGCACTTTTGTCCAAGCTTCAAATGATGGTCAAAGGAATTTTCTTTTCCCAAATGAAGAAAGGAGAGAACACTGGCACCTATTCAAATTCCAAAGTCTGAAATTATAATGACAGTATTTTTTAAATTGCTCTCTGTCACCCGGCCAGTGTGGCTTAGTGGATTGAGCATCATCACGTGGACTGAGAGGTCCCAGTTCTATTCCCCATCAGGGCACATGCTCAGGCTGCAGGCTCGATTCCCAGTAGGGGGCGTACAGGAGGCAGCCGATCCATGTTTCCTTCTCTCCCTTCTCTCTAAAAAAAAAAGTCAATAGAAACATATTTTTTAAAAATAAATTGTTCCCTGTATACACATAAAGCGGACCGTTTTCACCCAATAAACAGGACATTTTGCTTTAGCTTCAGTGATATAAAAATACATCTTAGAGAAGCATGTTATCTACCTTATGAAATATTCCTTGAAAAACAAATCTTAATGGTTAAATAATGTCTTCCAATGATGTATTTTAATTTATCCAATAGTTCCCTATTAAGCATTTAAGTTTATATTTTATGCTAATATAAAGAACACTTAAGTAACTTAGGTTTTGAAAGCATCCCTGTTTCCTTAGTATAAATTACTGTGCGTAAAACTATTGGATCTTTCCGTTGAACTTTTCATGCTTTTGAAGTAGCTTTGCTTAAATGCTCCCCAGGAAAGTTGAGTGGTAGAAAGGTGGGTGAACTAGAGGCAAGGGAGTTGAAAGAGCTGCAAGTATAAAGTGGCAAAAATTAAAGCAGAGAAGGCAGAGGTAGAAAATAGCTGAAGGGCCAGGTGAAGAAATGTTCAGGTAGACCACATGTCCACACCTCTGAATCTTTGCTAATGCTGAACTGTCCATCCCCAAAGCGCCAGTGTCATCTTTTTCTCACTCAAATTAGTCTCGTCTACGTGTTTCCACAGCATCGCTTGTATACAGTTGGTATATCTCTGCAGTTCTTGAAGGTGAAACCGTGTTGCTGAGCTTTGTATTTTGAGGACTTGGCTGTTGCCTACAGTGAGTGTGAATAAATGTGTTTAACTTGAAAAAAAAAAAAAATAGGAGACTGACTTGAATACACTTCCCTCTACATGCTTCGGTGTGCGCATTAACTAAAATCCAGTATTTTTGTGCAGCTCCTTTTTAGGTGCAATTTATATGCAGTAAAATGCACCAATTGTTGCATATTTTTTTTAAGTAACTGAAGTGGGCTTAACAGTGTTTCACATATTTCACTGTTACTGCTCTATCATATTTGCCGTATCTGCATACCAGTACTTTTAGTTAATGTTTTTCATAAAGTGATTAATGTTTAATATAAATTGTGATTTGATTTTATTTTTTATTTTATTTATTTTTTTATCCTCACCCGAGGATATTTTTCCATTTTTTGTACAGATAGAGTGGGAGGGAGAGAGAGGAAGGGAGAGAGAGAGAGAGAGAAACATCGACGTGAAGGGACACATCAAGTGGCTGCCACCCGCACAACCAACCAGGGCCGGGGACAAACTGCAACTGAAGTACGTGCCCTTAGCGGGAACCGAACCCGGGTCTCTCCAGACCGCAGGCCGACGCTCTAACCGCTGAGCCAAACTGGCCAGGGCTAAATTGTGATTTTAGAGCAGAGGTGGGGAACGTCCAGCCCACAGGTCATCTAAGGCCTGCAAAATCATTTTTTTGTCCTGCCAAAGCAACCATAGGCGAGACTCAAAATTCAATAAATCAAAGAACTTTTTTCATAGCAACAGAAATTTATATTAAGTGAATCACAATAATAATGTAAATTTTGAGGGACAAGCAAGGAACGTCTATTATGGGATAGACAGGTCACATATGAGTATGTGACAGGACAGACATATGCTTCTCGTTGGCTGTCCACAGCCCTTCTGCCTGTATTGCGGTGACTCAGAATACTGTCAGTGTCAGGCGGGCTGGGAGTGTACACGTTGCGAAAGTGTTAACACACTGTGACAAAACTACGGTGATCCGGTGATGATGAGACCAGATGTAATGAGATGATTACCCCCGATGTTGATGACCTTGCTTCTGATGATTGACGACAATGTTATCAACTTCTCTGTTGTAACTCCAACTTTTATCCATACATCCACAATCAACAATCCTTGCAAAAACTGAATCTCAGATGAAGATTAAAGAAATTACAATATACAGAAAAGACCTCAAGAATCGATAATATGAACGTTAGATATTCCAAATCCAAGATGCAG